CAGCTTGACAATTTCTTAAATTGCTTAAACACCTATCTACTATATGATTCACTGCAGTGTGTTTATCTATGAGAAATAAAAGCCTATACCCAAACAAAAACTTGTACTCAGATATTCATAACAACTTCTTCATAATAGCCAAAAACTAGAAACAACTCAAATATCCATCAATAAGTGAATGGCTATCCAGACTGTGGCATTAGCCATATAATGGAATATCACTCACAAGAAAAAGGAATGCATGGTTGATACACTTAGTAATATGCTGAATAGCAAAATAATTACATCTATGAAAAAAAAAGACATATGATTCCATTTACATTAAAGTCTAGAAAGTTAAATAATGTGTAGGATCACAGTGTAGTCCAGTGGCTGCCTGAGGACGAGATGTGGACAGGTAGTTGGGGCTGGGGATGAGGCAACAACAGGTTGTGACAAAACTTTGGGAATGAGGTGTATGTGCAGTATGTTGATTGTGGTGACAGCTTCATGGGTGTATACATATGACAAAACTTAAAATGCATGCCGGCTACTGTATAGCAATTATGGCTCATTAAGCTAACAAAAGACTGAACTGAAAGATGGACAATCTATTTTTATTAACCAGCCAGAGTGACACTGTGGTGAGAAATCAAAAACAAATTTATTCACTAGGTCTGCTACCTTTTAAATGATTGTAATTCTTAACAAGTGTTTATTTGCATTATTTTGATTTCACCTAATGTGCAACCACACTTCCAAGTGGTTCAGAGAGGTGTCATGGGGATTCAGAGGAGGGAGAGGTCATACTAAGTCAGATGTTTAGGCTTCAGTTCGGGTAGCTGACCTAGAAGTTAGTCTTGATGGAGCTGTGAAATTTGTTGGATGAAGATTTGGAGACTGTCAGGCTCACCAACAAGTGCAGACATAGGTGAGAAGTGAGCAGAAGCTCTTTACACACTGTGCTACAGGGCATCATGTACACTCTTTGTAAATCCTCCCAGCAACTTGGTTAGGTAAAAGAATTGTTCTCATTTGCTGCTGAGGAACCAAGGCTCCAGACACTAAATATTTTCTCCAGCCTCAGATTAGAGACTGTGCAAGTCTCCAGCTCCCACAGACACTTTACTGTGTTCATAAGACAGTGACAAGAGTGGCACAGAGATAGAAATAAACTGAGTGACAAGGTTGGAAATGGTGGGGTTAGATCAGGGATGGCTCTTGAACAATGTAACTTATAAACAGTTTATACTTTCAAAATACATTGGGGAATGAACAGTGAGGAGACCATGAAACATTTCTGAGCAGGGAGTTTTATTATGATCTGTAGCAGTGGTGATAGTGGAGATGGGAACAGTAGTTTTGAGAGATACTATGAAGTCCAGATGATCAAGAGTTGGTGATGAGCTGAATTCAGGTGGCTAATGAATAGAAGACATCAAAGCCGATTCTAAAGATTCTGATATGGGGTAAAAGAGAAAAAGAGATACCTGACTTTCATGGAAGTGTGTGGAGTACAGTTTGGGACATACTGAATTTGTGATTATATTAAAATATCCAAATGAAATATACCAGCACTCAAGCGACATTACAGAATTGGAGCTCAAGAGAAAGTCAGAGCTACAAGAGTAGTGGTTTTACTTGAAGCTATGAGAGTGAATGCAGAGGGTTAGGATCTTCCCCTTGGGCACCCTCTAACTGCATGTTAGAGGGTGAAGGCGGGTGTGGTGTCCTCTTCATCTCCACTCCCCTCCAACAGCCTGTTACCTGGGCCACTGCAGTCCGTTTCACCAAAACCACCCTCCAAGTGGCAGTTACAGTGGTCTATCCAAAATACATCTCCTGCACGGTAGTCCAGGCACGTTGAGTATGGCATGTGAAGCCATTCAGGAGCTGGCTCTTCACCTACCTCCAGATCTTCCACCAGCTGTCCGGCAACACCAACAGTAGTTCAATTTGTCATTATTAAATAGTAGTTAATTTGTGATTATTAAGCACCTTCTATAAGCCAGGCATTATACTATATATCAATATATTTTTAAGTCTTACATCAACCTTGCAAGTTGCAATATGACTGTCCTCATTTTACAATGAGGAAACTGGATTTCAGACACTAGTGAGCACTAAAGCTGAAATGTAACCCAGGTCGCTAACTGTGAATCCTACGCCCTAACGTCTGTGCTATGCTGAATTCTTTCCAGCTACTCAAGCACATCATGAAATTTCTGCGTCATGCCTTTCTGTATGCTTCCCCTTGTGTCTGAGTTTTCTTCGCTCCTCTCCAGTCCCCTTAGAGCCTCTGACTCCTGCTCAGTCCTTAAACCCATTTAAGAAGGCTTGGAGGGTATTTTCCCTGCCTTTCCTTCCTTCCCACCTGGTTCAGAGCCCATTATCTGGGCTCCTATAATTCTGTGCACATCTCTCATTGTCCTCTGCATGTTATTAAAATTACCTGGGTTCTAGCATCCTGGTCTTTCCGTTCAATTAGGGGTTGGCAAACATTTTTCTGTAATGGGCCAGATAGTGAATATTTTAGATTTCTGGACTTACCATCTGTGTCACAACTACCCAACTCTGCCATTACAGTGTAGAAGCAGCAATAACCAGATATAAACAAATGTAGCTGGATTCCAATAAAACTCTATATTTTTAGACACTGTAGTCTGACTTTCCTATAATTTCCACAAGTCACAAAATATTATTCATCTTTTGATTTATGTTTCCAATCATTTAAACAATGTAAAAACTATTAGCTTGTGTGTCATACAAAAAACAGATGCAGGCTGGATGTGGCCCATTAGCTGCAGGTTGCTAATCCCTGCGTTAAGGTATGAACTTCTTGAAAGCAGGTACTGAATGAAATTGGCTCTTGTATCCCCACTGTATGGTATGTAGTAGTTGCAAAGGAAATTGTATTGACTAAATAATAAGCCTAAAGTGGGACACTGAGAGAATATAGATTAGGAGAACCACTAGCATATCCCAATCAAAAGAGGACTATGTAAAAGGAAAGGAATTTTTCTAAGGATTTATCCTGCAGGAATAATTGTACACATGTGCAGATACATGACACATGTTTGGGGGTATTTGTAATATGATGAAAAACATTCTGAATATCCTATATGGGATTGGTTTATGGTATATCCATAAAGTAGAATATTCTGCAACTGGTAAGAGTAGCTGCCAGTTGCTTGCAACAGATCCATTGGAGAAAAAGCCCTAGAGAGTGAGCACTACAATCTCCTAACCTGAGAGTTTCCTCATGTAGTCACAGCTTCGAGTAGAGCAGGTGAGACCATATGGATTCCCTGACATTTAGTTTCTTACTCCATCAACAACTGCAATATTGGGCTTCAGTTGTACCCAAGAAGCTCAGAAAATCCAGACTCAGCGTACACTTTCTGTTGTGTTACATGTGACGTGCTGAACATGTACAGCCCACCTTTACTAAGGATTCGCCATCAGAAGAATATCTGTTATTCTAACCCATATATATAATATAATATATACAATTATTCCCACATTGTGGGATTAGCAGTGGTCATTTTTGATGTGTGGATTTATTTGAAGGGTCTGAGAACACCAGATGCCAGACCACTGGCTCAGTGGGCAACTGGACAGTCATCAGAGCCAGGGGTGAGACACTGGGGCTACTGAATGACTTGCTGTGGTTAACCCTGCCCAGAGCATTGTGAGGGATTACAGGAAGCTGAGATGAATGAGGGGAAGAGGAAATAATCTGATTAGAAGATGTCATTGTGTTTGGGGATATTAAAACATTGTTTAAAAAAAATAGTAAAGACACTCTTGTACCATAGGATAAGGGAAAATGAAACATATGTCAAACTTTTTGGAAAGTTAAGAACACAGTTTACCAGATGTCGTTGCCTGTAAGGATAAATTAAAAATTTCTCAAATAGTTCAGGATAAAATTTTCTTTCATTTTAACATTTACTTATTAGCTAGTACTAGGTGATTTTCAAAAGTACAATAGAATAAAGAAAATGTCCCTTTACTTATTTCAAGACTTTGCTTTTTAGTACTAAGTATTTTTTCTAACATTTATAGAATACCTAATGAGCACAACTCACTGTAGAGAGCTGTGGTTCTGTATGAAACCAAGTATATGTAAGACGTGAGATCCTTACACTTGGATATTCTCAGACCAGACATTTCCAAAATCTGTTAAAAACATTTTTCTTGAAAAAAGTTTTCATTATCAAATAACTGGCTAAGTAATGTTATATTTCTCAGAGCCTTTATTATACTAATGGGGTTTGATCTTGGATAGCCCATTTAATCAGAGGTGTTCTCAAATTATAACCTAATCACATCTGAGGGAAGCTCTGTTGTATCAAAAAAAGTGACAGACAGTTAAGTGACATTGATAACAAATTTAAGAACATGTGCAAAGGCTTTGGAAAGTGCATTTTGTTGATCCCCTGGACCTTGACTTTTAACATATAAACAGGAAACATTACATCATAAGGCGACCACACCAAGGTATCAGCCAGACTGGATTGCTTTGAGAGTAGAGGGGTTGCTGTTAATGTGGGGACCACAGGTTTTCCAGGCAGAGAGGGCTGGCTGGCTACCCTAGCCACAGTCTGACCTCACCAGTTGTGTACAGTTTCATCTGGGATCTTGACTTTAGTAGCCTATTTCCCAGGGTTGATTGGTTTTTGCTTGATTCACAGGCTTTGAGATAAAAGAAAGGTTTTGATATCACTTATAGCGTAATGCTTTAAACTTGAAACAGTGACTTTGAAGAATACAACTGTATGTTTAACCAATGGTTTTCAAAGTGCATGAAAGTGGAACTGTGTGTTTTCTTGACAGTTAATGCGTGTAATTTTTAAAAAGTGTCTCTCCCAGAGAATTTTCCTCCAAAGAGTACCCAGAGCATTACTTTGTACAACCAACAAAAATTGAAATGTACAGTGGAAAACATTGTATAACTAAAGCAGAAGAGAATTGTTTCATGTTACATTTAATGTTTTCTTTTTTCCATCTCTTTGCAGTTTTTTGAGGTGCCATTTGATTCAAACATGAATAGGACGAAGAACAGACCTCTAGTTCGTGGGCAGATCAGGTAAAATCAGGAATTTAAGTCTCTTACATTACAGAACAGTCATTTGCTTGTTCATCCTGAAGCATTTCCCAATCTTTTGCCTTGAGTTGTGAAGTGAAAATCACACAGCCCCAAAGGGACATGTCAGTGTGGACCCACAGTCCTTTTCAACCATTAACAAAATGTACTACAGAGCATTGAAAGTGGGTCTGAGATGGTGTGAGACTAACTCATGCAATAGATTTCTTTATTGAACCTAGTTTTGAGACATGGACTTGTTTTCACATAGAGTATCTAAAGATAAAAATATTCCATTAACACAGGTGATTTCAGATAAATCCATAGAGGGTTCTAGAAGAAAAGTATGTCTGAAGCCTTCTTTTACCAGATAAACTGATAATGTTCTTCCATGCTGAGTAAAGTACTGCCTCCATTACACTCCTTTCCACCAAATTCAATTAGGTAGAACTAAAAGGCATATAAATATTTTAATATCACTAATGGATAATAATTAAGCACTCTACTTCCTGGAGACATTGAAATTAGCATTTTGAAATACTTCTTTAAATACAATATCACAGGCTGAGAAAAATAAAAAGAGCCAAATAGTTTATACTAACTATTCTAAATCAGTGAATCCTCTTTTCATATTTCCAGGCAATGCGTTCTTAGAACGTAAAATTTACTGTGGTAACATTGGTTTGGTGGGTCGAATAATCACACATATTAAGTAAAATAATAAAGGAAACAAATGCAGATACAATCAGTTATCTATATAAAAATGGTTTTTAATATTAGCTATTGTTAGCTATTCAATAAATTTAAAATACCATTAATTGGAAAAGCAATAGAGCAGATGAAAATATGTAACAATAGACATTTCAGTATCTACTGACACCTTACTTTTTTGAAATATAAATAAAACTATCTGCTGTCTTAATGTTCGAAAGTGTCAAAAGTACTTTTATTTAAGTACAGTAGGTTTAGAGGGTGAATGCAAAAATCTATAACCATCTCAGAAGCCTAAAAGCTGCTCCTGCCACCAGTCAGATCACAGGTAAGTTCTTATTAGGCATTTCTGTCCTCCGTGAAATTGTATTCTTCCTTAGAACCAAGGGAAATACAGGACTACCCAGGAAGTAGCCATTAGGCATAAGATGGTGATGCGATAAAGGCCTGTCATTCTTTTCGTAGTTCATCTTACTTGCCCAGTAGGGCGGTTTCCTGCAGAAAGCAAAGTCAGTATCAGTTCATCCAGGAGGCAGAATCGTCGTGACTGTGGTGGCTGGTATTGGAAGTGCCCGTCCTTTAAAGTCAAGCAGTACAGCACAGTTACCAGTCTTCTTAGACTTGTAACTTCATCCTTTGTTTGCAAGATGACCCAGGCAGTATCTCATTTATGGTAATAAACCTTAATTGCTACTTAAGAGGACAAATTATAGGCCTGAAAAAAATAATTTTATTTTTATAGTTAGGATGTATTTTATTATATAGGCACAAGGAGCTGTTATGTGTCTGTGGCAGAAATCTTGCACTGAGAATCCTAGTTTTAAAACAAAACTTTATCCTTGCCGGTCAGTGTTTATTAAAATTTAGTCAGTTATTATCTTCTACACAGATACTTTATAAGTGGGTGGCCTTAGAGGTGTAGTAGAAAGTCTTGTAGGCGACCCACCAACATTTATAGACTATTGGGCATTTTAAGTGCAAAGCCCACCTAGTTTATTTTGAAATTCTCTTTTTGGTACTTACCGCCCCATCTGATTTGAGCTGATATGCACTGTTGAATTTATTCAGCTTAATAGACTTAGTTTGTAACTTGGCGTGGAAAGTGTGAGTTCCTGTCATTGCCGACGGACAGCAGAATAGTAAATCTGGGAAGGAAATCCTTGAAAGTTTTTTGCTGATGACAGCTATTTCAGTCTTTGTATGGAGCTTGATTTCTCCCCATTCTAAAGACATACTATAAACATTTATGGAAAAAATGTACTTCATTTATCTTTTCAAGGGATTGCCATTCACATGGAAAATATTTAAGTGAAAAAAATTATATGTTTCCTGTGAACAAAGTTATATAAAGTGAACAAAATTATAAAAGGAGTTAAAGTAAATAGTAATATATAAGAGAACAAACATATGCCTAGACTAGTTGCTCTTTGATTTTGTGAAAGATCTAGGGAAATGCCCTGAAGGGACCCCTTGCTGGTGTGGACCTGTCAACACGGCTGTGCACATGCTTGGCTGTCATTCCCGGGGAGCAGGCTGGGTAGGTGCTTGGACGCTTTGGAAGCCGGGAGCGCACAGGGTGGGTGGGTGCTGGGCGTTTTACCAATTGAGTGCTTTTTGCGTGGGTAATTTGTTCTTTATTACAGAAAGGATTAAAGGTTTCCTAAGAATATTTTAGTAAAATAGGAGAAAGATGTAAAGAAAGTCGGGGCTTACAGAAAATAGAATATGGAATAAATGGAAAGATCTCAAGAACAGTTTATCAAATTCACATAGTAAATAAAATTAAGCTGTAAATTTCATCCTACATTTCCTGGGGAAATCACAGTTAAACTGTAATGATGAGCATTACAGGCATTATTTATGTTTTAATCTCCCCATAGCTCCATGAGATACATGCTGTTAAATTCCCCTCAGTACTCAGATGAGAAAACTGAGGATCCAAGTATCACGAATAAGTGGCAGAACCAAAATTTGGCCTAGTCTGCTTGACTCCATGCCCTGAGTTTCTCGCCACTGCATGTAACTGTCTCTGTAAGTCTTCTTTTCCTAGAGAAGAAAACACCACACTAGGGAAATCAAACTTCTGCCTCTTAGTTCTTAAAAAGTAAGCAGGGATCCTTGGTGATGGTATAAGAAAAATATCCTCCGGATTTATAAAAAGGAAGCAGATAGCAGATTTCTAAGGCTTCTTGTGGTGCAAGCCGCACCAACAGGCAGCCCCCAGTGAGAACCATATAGAGCGTATGGCCTGGACACGAGTGGGGAGGCGAGTGGGGGTGTCGGGGTCGGAGGATGTGGGAGCTCTTGGCCAGACTGATTAGCCAAGGTTTTGTCTCTAGCAGTTCAGCCTGATGCAGGGGCTAAAATGAGACACTGAAAGGAAGAGCAGAGAAGGTGCCAGTGTTACAGGTGTATCAGGTGATACCTGGGATCAGAGAGATGATGGAGGGAAAGTGCTCTGCCACATGGAAAGAGTGCAAAGCAGGCCGCAGGTCGGTGACTGTTCACCCTGGTGTGGCCTGGACACTCCTGTTGTTCCCATACATTACTGATAGTGTCCCCTCTCACTGTCAGCAGTGTCCAGTTTGGATGATAACTGTGCCATCTGATATACAGGGGATGATGGTGTTGGTCTGATGTTCTAGAATTTCCTTAACTTTAAGGCTTTTTCCTACACATTCCAGTTGCTTATTTTGCCTCAAAGAGAAAAAAGCACATAAATGGAAAGTATGATGTATCTAAGTCAATTTGTGGGTAGACACTGTAATACAAACCTTTGTAGCTTTTTAAAAATGACACTCAATATCTTTATTTTCTTTTAAATCAGAAACTGTGAATAAAGTCCACTGACTTGTTTGGACCTTTCTGGCAAAAGTGTCATGTTGTGCGGAGGGAGTTGACTTAGAGCTCCCTTTGATCCCTGGCAGAGAACACACCTCATTCATGGATCGGGGGGTCGCCCTGAAGGGTGAGCAAACCCAGTGACGACACTGCATCTGCAAAGCCAGTCATTAGTGAAGGTCCACATCAGAGAAGGCCGCCTTCTTATTAGAAAGTCAGATTCAATATAAGCCACTTCTCACTTGGTACCTGGAGAAAGTTAATTTGCAATTTTTTAAAAGTTTAGATAATAGAAAATGTCTCAGTCTTCAGGTACTTTTCATATGGTAATCATAGGCTAGTAAAAAAATGTTACATAACTGATGATAAGCTTGGGCAAGTCACTCAGTCTTTCCACCATGCCTTGACATGTGGGGATCATAATTCTGACCTTGTTCATCTCATACATAGCATTGTTGTGAGGATAACAGTATAATCCAGAAAATCATGTAAGTTGGAGTGCATTGTTGGAGGAGCAGATTTAAAACTAGAGAAATACAGAGTTGTTTGCTGAACTGTCATCTGTTTTCAGAATTTGCTTTAAAATAGAAGTATTTCAATACTTATCAGGCAATAATTTAAAGAAGAGATTCGGATTAGTGCCAAGGAATAGAGAAGGACTTGGCAAATAAAAGAACTAGGACAGTGAAAGTTGTGTGTTTTACGATCACGCTTCAGTGGCCCAGCCACGTTGGAAAGTAGTCGGTGGCAGGTTTCAAACTTCACTCAGATCACCATCCTCAGGACACGCTTATAGAGAATGGTGGCCCTAGTGAGAAGTGTGCTAGGTGCTAGGGTCACAAAGATGTGAATGACATGGTCTGTTCTCTTAGAGTCCACTGAGGACACAGCAGTGCACGTGCCCGAGGACACTAAGAGGTGACAAAGGGACAGTTCTGGCAGCAAGTGTGTATTCGGGTTTTGCCTCCTAGCAGACATGTGCTAGATACCAAAGGCGCAGTGGTAAATACTACAGTAGGTGCACGCCTGAGTGAGGTGGGAATGAAAGAGGGGAGCCCAACCCCCGCTGAGGAGGCCCAGGGGCCTTGGGAGGGACGTCTGGGGGCTGAGCAAGAAGTGCGTTTCTGCCCAGGCTCCTCTTCTTCTGTTCCCCCTGGCTGTTCCTTTGTCGTGCCCGTTAGCCTCTGTGTGTCCCTCTTTCCCTTGGGCACTCCACTCACACTACCTCCAGCCTGGATCGCTCTCCAGAGACTGGACCCTTTGAAAATACCAGTCCTCATTTTCTCTCCCAAACTGTCTCCTTAGACACTGTTGCCTCACATTCCATAGTGGGGTGCCCCGAAGTCCTTCTGGACCTTCTTGTTCTGCTCCCTTCATCTGTTCATCCCACAGACAGCGCCTTTCCAGCCTGGAAGTTGCCCTGGAGCCTGCTCTGCCCCCCACGGTAGTCCAGACCACCACCAGGCATGCGTGGGCAAGGACCACAGTGGCTCTACCTTCTCTCTAACTCTCTTTCCATCTGTCTTCCCCTCAGTGGCAAATAGGTTTTCCTTAAGTCATCTCATTGGTTTCTGGCTTAAAACCTTTTGAAGTCTTCTAAGTATATTTGAGGAAGAAATACTTGCTTTCAGTTCTTAACTGTGTCACACAAGGCCTTTCAGACACTGACCATTGCCCCCTGTGTGCACCTTTTTTCATTCGTCCTTTTATGTTATATCGTGACAACGTGGAGCTGCTGGGTTTTTGCTGAAAGCCATGCTTTCTCTCATCTCTGCCAGGTGTGCTGACCTTGCCCTTTCAGTACCTGGTAGAGCAGTACTTCCTCCCGGGGGGGATAGTGCTCCTGAACTCTGGGGAGGTGGCATTGGACGGTGGCCTTGACGCTTTCCTTGTGCTGCGCACCCTGTCACAGCACTGCTTGTTAGCACACTGTGTACTAGTTCCTGGTGCTTCTTTCTCTGTTACATTGGGGGCTCTTCTAAGACAAAGACTGAGTCTTCCATCTGTTTATCTCCAGTGCCTAAGACCATTTATGTAACATGTATTTCCCACTGCCCAATATGTGCTAAAGCACCATTTTCAGTGCTCTGATAGAGCAGTGAACAAAACAAAATCCATAACATGGGAGTGTGCATTCTAGCCATCGCGTCTGGCAGATCAGTGTCGCTTAGCAAGGTAAGGGTGAATGGACAGGCAGGAGATGACGGACAGGTGTTGGAGACGTAGAAATGACCCTGCAGTGAGGAAAATACAGAAGTGAATAGGACTACGTGACATGTGCCATCAAGGCAGGGAGGAGGCCCTGTGACAGGAGCAGAGAATCACGAGAGAGAGCATAAAAGCTGGAGAGGGAGGCTACAGCCCTGGCCTGACAAACTGACTGCACAGGCAGAGAGTCAGCCAAGACTATACCAGGCAAGGTGGGCGTGGTGAGCTGCAGTACCAAGGGGGTGGTGCAAAACTTGCTTAAGAATTTAAAAAAATGCCCGGGCTGGACTTAGAGTGAAGGGTTTGTGTAGGAAAACAGTGAGGAGGTAAAGCAGGGGTGGTGGGGGACGTCGAGGAGATGTTCCTGCCACACTGAGTTGCGAGCACTGTTGTGCAGGAATTGGACCATGGGCTGCATGGCTCTGGTGTTGTGCAGGAATTAGACCATGGGCTGCATGGCTTTGGAGCTTCTAATTAGTACAAGGCAAAAAAGGAAGAAAAGGCATAGGGATTGGGAAGCAAGAACTAATCTTTTTATTCACAGACAATGGAAAATTGTTTACATGGAAAATTCAAGCACATCTATGAGAAAGCTGCTGGAATTAATAAGTGAACTTAGCCGGGGCACCAAATACAAAATCCAAAGTAGGAGTTGCTCTTCTAACATAGCATGAGCTGTGAAATTGGGCTGGGTAGAAAATTCTTACTTTAAACACAGAAAGCACAAACCATAAGAGAAGAAGTGGGTAAATTAGACTTCCATCAAAATTTTTTTTTAATTCTGCTCCTTAAACACTTACAGAAAGGAAAAGATAAACCACAGAGTTGGGAGTATTTGCAGACATGATCTGATAAAGGACTTGTATCCAGAATATATAAAGAATCCTTATATATGAAGCTCAATAACAAGAAAACAATCCAGTTAGAAAAATGAACCAAAGATTTAAACACTTCACTAAAGAGGAGATACAAATGTCAGATGCACATAAAAAGATTTTCAACATCATTAGTCATTAGGGAAGATGCAAATTAAACCACAGTGAGGTACCACTATGTACCTGTTAGAATGGCCCAACATTTTAAAAAATAATACCAAGTGCTGGCAAGGATGTAGAATGGCCGGAATTCTCATGTATTGCTCATATGAATGCAAAATGGTACAAGGACCAGAAAACAGTTTGGCAGATTCCTATAAACAAACATTACCATACAACCCCCTCCTGTGTATGTGGAAACATTGTCCACATAAAGACTTGTATATGAACGTGTGTAACTATTTAATTCCACATTACTGAAAACAGACTGAATGCCCCTCAGCTGGTGAATGGATATGTGCAGTGACAAGGATAAATTTCTAAAGCATTGTGAGTGAAAGAAGACAGACACAAAAGGCTACACATTCTGTGTTTCCGTATTCTTGACATTTTGGAAAGCCAAAACTGTAGGGACATAAATCAGATCATTGGGGGACCAGGCTAAGAGGTACAGACTAATTACAGAGGGGCGTGAAGGGACTTTTTAGGGTGATAGAAATGTTGTATATCTTGATTGTGGTGGTGTTTACACGGTTGTTTATCTTCTTCAGGACTCAGAACTAAGTGTACACCTGAATTTTAGTGCATGTGAAACTACTGTATGTCTTAGACTGGATTTTCAGAGCATTTGGTTTTCCCTGAGGACCATATTGATGTAGATTGTAGAGCTTTAGGGTAGATTTGGGATCCCACTGCCTGAACTCAAATCCAGCCCCTTTGCCTGTACCTGCTGCATCCTCTCCTGTAGACTGGGGATAATGCCCTAACCCCATAGAGTTGTATGAGAATGTGACTGTCCTTGTAAACAGACAGTGAGCATAGCACTGTTGCCAGCTGGCCATTGCTGCTTTTTCATCAGTCATGTGCTGGACATCTCTGCGTGCTGGCCCCTGGCTAACTGCTGGGTTGGGACTGGGGTGAACCAGGTCCAGTGAGGGAGGCAGATGGTGAACCAGGAGCAAATAAACTCTAAGAGGTTCCTCCAGGTAGTCATCTGGTGCAGAAAAGAAGCAACCAGAGTGCTAATATAGAACGGTTGGTGGAGACCACCTTAGAGAGGTGAGGGCATGCTGCTCATGAGGAAGTGACATTTGCATTGAGAGCTAAAGGATGGGGAGCCAGAGACCAGGAGGCATCGGGGGTGAAGGGAGCAGCAAGCACAGACCCCAGGCAGCCACAGTGTGCCTGACACAATGAATGGACAGGAGGGCAGTGTGGGCAGGCAGAGTGGTGTGAGATGAAGTCAGAAGTATGCCTGTGTTCTGTGTGCAGTGGGAAGCCAGAAATGAGTCATTAGTATGGGATTGGTGTGACCAGATTTACGTTTTTTAAAAGAACTCCTCAGAATGAATGTAGGGTCACAGGAGTGAGCAGAGGGACCTGTTGCAGGGCGAGGGGTGAGTTGATGATCCGAGTGGTCGCAGAAGAGGTGATGTTTTGCTGTTGCTTGGTTCAGAATTTAGGCTGGCCACCAGTGCCTCCAGTTTCAACTAAATGGTGTCTGTTTTTCAAAGCCTTCCCCTCTTTCCTGTGGCTCCCTGGTCTCTCCCAGATGAACCCTGCCCGTCCCTGCCTGCCTGCTTTTGCTCCTGCAGCTCCTCTCTACCTGCCTTCCCCTTTTACTCTGCTCTGCAACTTTCATTTGTCCCTCTACCAATGTCTCTCTCCTGTCTGCATGTTACCCCCCTTACACAAGTTCTTCAGCTCTTTACACAGATGCTGCATGATTCCCTCTAAGCAGATAGCAGAGAGGCGGCAGCCCCAGGGTGTCCTGTTCAATCCTCACAGCCACACACACAAATACACAACTCAGAGTCATTGGGCATTTGGGTAAATAGGGAGCTCAGTGCTCAGACAGAATGGAGTAAACCCAGCAGAGAAACAGCCCTTAGCCTCAGCCATCTCTTCTCCGCTGAGACTCATCTTCAAGGCCCAGCCATCTAAACATAGCTGTTTCTTTTCTTCCCTCTGTTAGTTTAACTCAGTGAGCCTGAAACTTTAGTGGACATAGTCATTACTTTTCAGAACTATACTTGCATAACCTTGCATGTACTTCATGGGATGACTTCAGGAGATCTTGAAGGATAATTTCGAGTGCAATATATTTTCACCTTAGGGCTGACCTAAATAAACTTCAGCTCTATCGTGTTTCAAGAATGAAAACCCAGCCAGCCCTCTTGCACCTTCGGTTGCCAGTCTTAGTATGTTTGCCTTCGTTTTTACTGACCTGCCACTGTTTGTCTGCATTGTTTCAGATGAAGGATAAAGTGACACTGAATATAATTAATAAGTGATGAATAGTAAGATAATTGTTTTTGAAATGGTCCATTACAGTATAAACAGACCCTTTGCATTTTAAGCAACAGTTCTCTGTAATTTTTTTAAGAATCAAAGGGGAAAATCTGTACAACACAAATACCATTTAACAAGAACAGGGGAGCCACGGAGCGGGCAGCTGCGGGCTCCACCCCCAGCAGCTCTGCCATCTGGGTCAGGACGCGGTGGCCGCGGTGCTGGACCTCAGGACCTGCGGGCTCGGGGACCACTGCCGCCCGCCGCTTCCCTTGCGCCCGCTTCGCCCGCAGGTCCCCGGTCCCCAGCCACGAACTACAGGGAAACCACAGCGAGCACAGTAACAAAAAAAAAGAAATGCCTCATTCCACCAACAAAGAGCTGATCCTTGGCATCATGGTGGGAACTACTGGAATCAGCTTGGTGCTTCTGTGGTACCACAAGGTTCGCAAACCAAGGATAGCAATGAATTTACCTAAGTTTCTTTCTCTGGGTAATACATTTGGTTCGATGACTTTGCAAGATGAACATGGCCAAGGAACAGCAGCCATCTTTCAAGGAAGGCAACTTCAGATATTGGAGAAGTTAAATGAATTACTGACAAATATAGAAGAACTCAAAAAGGAGATCAGAGTTCTTGAAGAAGCCATCCCAAAGCTGGAGGAATATATCCAAGGCGAACTTGAAGGAAAGGTAACTGTCCGTAAGGTAAGTCCTCAGCACAGAGCTAGAAAAAGAAGACTTGCCACGGCTCAAAATTCAGCAACAAGTAATAGTTCAGAGGAAGCAGAAAGTGAAGGAGGGTATATTACAGCTAATACTGACACAGAAGAACAGAATTTTCCAGTCTCTAAAGCATTTAACACACATGTGCAAGAATTAAATTTAGATGTCCTTCTTCAGAAAGCAGATAAACTTATGTATGAACGAGTCTAGCAAGATGGAGAGTTTTGAACTACTTTGTGACCACAAAGAAAAGTTTAGAGATGAAATAGAGTTTATTTGGCGGTTTGCTCGTGCTTATGGAGACATGTATGAGCTATCTACAGATACTCAAGAAAAGAAACATTATGCTAATATTGGAAAGACATTAGGTGAAAAGCTATTACTAGAGCACCCATGAACGGATATTGTCATCTGTGGTATGCTGTTTTGTGTAGCTATATGTCTGAGTTTGAAGGCTTACAAAACAAAATCAACTATGGACATCGCTTCAAGGAACATCTAGAGAAAGCAATTGAATTTTTACCTGAGGAACCCTTTTTGTATTACCTGAAGGGAAGATACTGTTATACTGTCTCAAAACTGAGCTGGATTGAAAAAAAAATGGGTGCTACTCTGGAAAAACACCATCCTCAACTATACAAGAAGCTTTACAAAATTTCCTTAAGTGTTATGTCAATCTTGAGCAAATCAGTGATGCTGAGAAGTTCTGTAATCTGGCAGTGTTGCCTCCATGTGTAACCAAAGAGGATAAAGATGCACAGAAAGAAGCGAAAAAAATAAGTACTTCCTTGAAAAGATAAATAAAAGAACTTACTCTTCAACAAATCAGATGTGGTCTATCTACTAAGATTTAAACTTAAACTAATCAAAGCTGTGCTTTTTATTTTGTTTTCTTTTTGATGTAAGGGTAATGTGCTCAAATTTGAAGGTAAAACCATGTTTCTGCAGAATGCATTCCACTTGCAGCACTAGAGAACTAACTCTGTTACTTGGAGAAATCTATTCCCTATAATGTCAGTACAAAATGATCTTTAAACATGTATGCTTTATATTTTTCCTATCAATAAACTATAGTCTTCAGAATATTTCTTCAAATAAAATATTTAAATCAAAAAAAAATCTATGTAATTACGTTATTATTTGTTTCATTTCCCCAAGGAAAGTACAGAGGACAGTACTTTTAATTGTCTCTTTATTGTCTACATAAAATGCCAATTCTGTATGTCTAAGGTATTACTTAGAATAAAACAGTTAAAAAGAACCATTGTCTTTCTTACCAGCTGTTTGGGAAAATACTGCTCTTCCTGTTCTCCTCTCTAGTGGAAAGAGAAGGCATTTTTATACTAAGATGACATGTTTAAATTCTTCCTAACTCTTGTAGGCACATGAGAAGTCGTTAGTTACTCTGACTGCCTATTCTAAAGAACAGTGTGGTTTTACAATAACTGCAGGTGGTTAATAGAAACATCCTTTTGCAGCTTCTATTTACCAAATGTAATTCCTGTGGAAACACTTAACCCCATGGCTTTCTGCTCTTTACTTCAGCTCTGGTGCTTTTTACTTCAGCTCTGGGGCCTTTCTGGTAGAATTATGTATCAGAATCTTTAATGGCTTGGAGGCCACTTGATGAATTTGAATACACTGTACCTACATCACTTAGGAAGCATCCCAGATGCAGTAGATAACCTCAGAGTCATGATGCATTTGGCTGAAGAGCTTTAGCATCTGCATCTAAGGACGTCTGCAGAGAAGTACTCCAGAGGGTCAGAATGGTGCTGTTCTAACCTCTGGTATTGGCTCCTCCCCACAGTTAATCCTTGTTAATGCAGAGCCATGCCACTGCGTCCTGAGGCTGAGTGTGAGTGCAGCTGGCACAGCCTAAGGGCTGCAGAGCTTCTGGCAGTCTGGATGCACGTGTTGGTAGGTGGCTGTATCACCAGAAATATCAACAACTGCTTTATCTTTGGCACCTCTGGGCCTCCTGTTTCTCTGCAGTTTTTATATCCTCACTTGTAACTCCCTTCCACCCCTTGTATATCAGGCAGGTGTCCAGTGTCCTTGAACTCCTACTTAATGAAGCTTATGGCTCCTGGTAACATTCGTCCTAAATGGATTCAGTAGTTTTAGGGTGGCCAAGAGGAGAGGTCAGAGGAAGAGGAGTGGTTAGAAGTGAGTGTCCCAGTAGTTCTTCCTGAGAGATGCTTCAGTTCTATTTAGCAGGACTCGTTTCCACAGCAGATTGTAGCTGCCCAATCTGACAGCTATTTTTGGAAGCTGTTGGGGCCCACAGGGCTCTTGGGGGTGGACCCCATTTCTGCTGTGGAGTCTCCAGGCTGTGAGACCAGAGGCCAGCCTGCTGAGAGCAGGTGTCTGGTCCTGACGCCCCTGTGCCCTCTCAGAACCTCTTCCAACCTGATGCCCCATTGGTCCTCTTCTTCTGACTAAATACTTGGACACATAGTTCTTCTATCTTAAAAGCCCAGATCAACTGCACCTTCTGGTTTTTCATCTCTTCTCCCTTTTTGTAGCCAGACTTCTGGAAAGAGTGGCCCATCACCAGGTACAGTTTAGCTCCCACCTCACTACGTGTCTCTGCTTTTCCCTCTGTTTTCACTTTATGTAAAATTTCTGTTTCTGCATACTGGCTCTTCCAACCCCACTTTCCCATAAATTGACTCCTCATCAAAGTGGACACCTCAGCCACAGCCCCAGGCCTTCCTCTGTGCCCTCTGTCCCAATTCCAAATCTTGTGAGAGAAAATCGCCCACCTTTGAGTCAGATATTCCATTCGTGGTGCTGCACCCTGTGTCAAGGGACAGAGTGTGGGGGCAGTTAACGTGGGGGGGGTGGGGGAGCAGCCTGTGCGTGCCTGGAGCTGCCCTCGGTCAGATACAAATCTCAAGCCCGGCTCTACTTTGTAGTTTTGTGGCTGTGGCCTCGCTCTCCCACCCCCAGTACACGCACTCTTATGTCCCATTCTGTCCATGACTTGTAGTCAGAGTCTAAGGAAGCGTTTCTTCTTGATTTAATATTTACCGAGTCTTCTTCTTTGCCTCGGATGTGTAGAGGCACGCGTCCTTCCTCACTGTCTTCCCTGCCCTGGACAGCTCTTCTGTAGGAGTTACTTCCTGATTCTGTCAAAGTTGGAGTTTTCTGTTGTATGTTCTCCTTTTTGTTTTCAGAGAGGACAGAGGGATAATATTCCTTTAATCTGCCATCTTTGTCTAATTTGAAGTCCTTTCAGACTTAGATTTCTAACGTATCTTACATGAGGTTTTTTTTCAAGTAATAACCTTTTACCTAGTCCATCCTAATTAAAATTAATCTTTTTTAGAATGTCAAGGCCTGTTTCTTATATAAATCTTAGAATTAAATAATTTCCATGTCTAATTCAATTCATTAAGAATTTATTGATTACCTATAATGTTACCAGCACTGTCAGTTCTGTTTTTATAATACTCAAAAGGCTTATAATCTGGGTGAAAAAATGAGCCAGATGCATAAAGTGCTTAGCAGACAGAACAAGGCAGCCCATCAATATGTATTGAGTGAAATGATTGAATTGGTCCAAAGAAGTTCCCTGGGAGGTCAGAGAAAGGAGATACAGGGATAAGGATAGACTGGACCTGATACCTTCCTGAAGAAGTGGGCCCAGGCAAGGCCTTCCTTGTTATTTTCAAACACATCTGTATTTTGATTAAGCCTCCCATTTTCTACCTTGATAATGTTGACAGGGAAATGATACGTGTCAGCATTAGTTTTTTCGACTTAATGGATCAGATGAGAGTGACCCATAACTTACTTGGAAGCTTTAGGTGTGGGCTATAAGCAGAAGAGTTAGAATGATAAGAGCAGAGTGAGAGGTTATTTAGCGAGGATAAATTAAAACACTTGGAATCGGGGTTGGCCAATACCTCGTTTCTAAATGAATGACGAAGATTGAGTTTTCTAAATGAAATGGATTGTTTAGTTGGCATTATTAACTTAAAGAACAGGGTTTAGCTTAAGTATTATAGGAATTTACAGGAGACATTTTTCAAGTTTACTGAAGGTTTTACCAGTAAGCACTTAAGCAAATGTAAGCGTTTTGTGGGCTGCAGGGGAGCTGTGAATATTATTCATCACCCCATCACATAGTCTGGTGGATATGTACCCTGGCCAGGCTAGAGCTCTGCAGAGTTTCTAAGGATTGTTATGATTAGTCTCTTGGTGTGTGTATATTGCAAATGTAATCAGAACATAAACATCTCATAAGTATAGAAATCTCTTTTAGTGTTAACCAGGCTTTTGAGGTGACAGGAAGAACAAATTTAGTCTCAACTTAATAATAGTAGTGCTAATGTAGAGAACTTTGTTCTTAAAATAAAATCATTTCAGCATTATGAGCCATGGTAGGAAGAGTCAACAAAACATTTTCGTGCATATCTTCACACTTAGGCGCTAACAATGGGTGAGTGAAAGGAACACTGGGGTTTTCTGGAAGTTGAGATTCCTTTTTCTAGTTGCCCTAACAAAAAAGAAGGCATTTACGATTATTTCAAAGCATCATGAGTTGTGAACATTTCTTGACAGCAGTCCAGGGGGTGGGGGAACATTCAGTTCTCACATATCTTTTTATAATAAAAGAAATTCAGATATTTTAATAAATATGAATAAAAAGTTGACTGTTATATCACAGTAACTTAGTTGCTTGTTAACCACTTAGAAGTAAGTCATAGGAGCATCAGTAATCTGGAGTCTAATTAGACAAATGATCTGGAGTCATAGATTTAGTCTTAGGTCCTATCACTTTATTTCCTCTCTTTTCAAATAAGATGTGAAAAGATTTGACAGGATCAAATGCACTTCCCATTGATTGTTGTTATGTGAGTGGTAGACCTGAGATAGTCTTCTCTCTTTTGCATGGTCTGTACAAAGGTGTGTTTCAATCCACATTTTGAGCACCAACCAACATTTGGTTGCAAAGAATATGAAGATTAATTGTACAGAGTCAAGGCACTAAAAAAAAAAAAAATTAAGCTGTGGTGGGATGGGCAGGCAAGGCCACAGAGCCTGTCAGCATAAGGCCTCAGAGGTGGGTGAGAACCTCAGGGCATGTGGACCACCCCTAGGGCCCGGCCGGAAGGAGGAGGGTGAGGGAAAATGTTCTCAGGAGGACTTGTTTGATGACGAGGCTGAATCTTAGAGGAGGCTGAATCTTAGAGGAGGAATAATGGCCACACAAAAGGCCGTGAGAAGTGTTGAGAGGTGTGGGGGTGGGATGTTGTGGGTAAGGGGGTCAGTTCTAGGGCAGAGGAACCCTGTGCTGTTCCCAAGGGTCATCTTTCACCTAGACCACAGGTGGCAAACAGCAGCCAGCAGGCTGAATCCTGAAGAGGCGTTTGTGTGTTTGGCCTGCTGTGCTTTCCTACAGTTGCCAGCATTTAAAAATAGAAAATTTTAACATAAAACCCCAGATTGTTGGGCTTTTTTTTTTTTTTTGCACATTCCCACACGGTTCTGCCAGCCAGACCTGAGTAGCAGTTTCCACAGTTCCTCACCACTCCTGTTTTTAGTAGGCCCACTTTCTCCTTTACACTGCCAGCTGTTCGCTAGGCTGTGTGCCTTTGCGAACACTGGTCCAGACCGAAGGCCCTGATTACCCAGCCCGCATGCAGGAGACAGTGGTCCCATCTGCAGCCTCCTCTCTGAGTGGGTGCACAGGTACACACTGCCCAGGTGATCTACAAAGCTACAAGGATGGGCAGTTTTATGTCTTAGCTTCATTTTGTATAAATTGTGTTTCATTAAACCTTTTCAAAAGCTCCTTAAAATTCATTGACCCTTATTTTATACAGGTGAGCAAAGCTGCATTTTTTAAATCTTATCAATTAGAAGGGGGAGAGGAGTTGTCAGGGAATTAAGCCAAGTGGCTCGACCAGGAAAAGAAAAGCATGTGTCTCCCATGTGGCAGGCACAAGGTATACGGGAGAAGGGGCTACGGAAAAATTCAGTAGGTGGTCCCTGCACTCAAAGAGTTTGAGAAATACACTGAGGTTGGACCACCACATTAGAAACTTGATTTTCATGGATGGGATCAAACAGTAAGAATCTCCTCTCTGAAAATC